TTTTTAGATTAGGTTCTAAGTTAGATCTGTATTAGGTCTGTGTTAGGTCTAGATTTTTAGATTAGGTTCTAAGTTAGATCTGTATTAGGTCTGTGTTAGGTCTAAGTTTTTAGATTAGGTTCTAAGTTAGATCTGTATTAAGTCTGTGTTAGGTCTAGGTTTTTAGATTAGGTTCTAAGTTAGATCTGTATTAGGTCTGTGTTAGGTCTAAGTTTTTAGATTAGGTTCTAAGTTAGATCTGTATTAGATCTGTGTTAGGTCTAGGTTACGTCTCGCAATGTCCAAAAAATTGCATCGCTCAGCTAAGAGATTAAAAGCGTACATATTTGTCTTAGTTAGGCCTACATTAAGTCTAGGTTAGCTCTAGGTTAGGTCTCAGTTATTTCTCAATGTCCAAAAAAATAGTATCACTCAGCCAAAACAGAGCTAGTCACCGCATCGAAACGTCAACGTCCTAAAAATCTCAATAAATATCGTCGCCTCCAGGGTTCGCTAAAAAAAAATGCAAATTACCGAAAGGTCACCTACATCGTCAAATCTACCGTAAAACCGACTTCGTGGAGCATGACCGAGCGAGTAGACAGAGTGGGATCGAGTTAGCAGGTTGATGAATCGGCTGGCGACAAGTGAGCGAAAGCGACGCCTCTCTTTCTCTCTTTAGCCGGCTCGTATTTGGGTCACAGTCGACTTGGACCGAGCGAGCCTCGAGCGATGTGGGCTCGGTCTAGGCTTTCTTCGTTCGTCCCCCCCACCCGAGCAAGGCAAAGATGAGTCGCGGTCGCGTCTCCGGCCGGTCCCACTGGCCTGGATCGCCGGCTGGCCCGTTAGCTTTCGAGATTCGGGAACAATTATGCTCGCCCACCTTTCCACGTTTTCCGGTTACCTGGCCCAGTTCGATGGCGCGCTACGAGCTTGTCCGAACACGTCCGGCCTAGTTCCATAAACTAGTTCTTCGAATTTAAACGGAATTACTCGGATCGAATCGGGTCGTTGCTGGAACCGAATCGTTCGAACGTTTAAACGATTTCGGTAATTAATTGGGGCAGGAGATTGTCCACTTAGTCACTCTCTCGTTGGCTAGGAATTCGTTGGACCGTGTTACCGAATGCGCAGGCTCGTCGACCTAACTGTCGTCGCGAATCGGCGCAGAGGGCGCCACAGCTCTGGAATTCCGGTTAGACTTTCTTCGGCTTGTAAGCTTTCCTGTAGAAGTCACCGAACAGGTACAGGAAGATTATCATGTTCGCCATCATGAAGTACGTGAGCGGCTTCGGCGTTTGGCAGTCCCGAACCAGCACCATGAACAGGTAGCTCAGCACTATGGCGAACTGCACCTGTACACAGTCATGCAAAAACTTCATCATTTGTCGAATGAAACACATCTTGGCGTGAACTACAATAATACAAACTAAGATAATACGTTCCTGATTTTTCAACGATGGGATAGTAATTTTTTTTACGTTATATAGTAATCTTTTATATATTTCTTTATAAATTATATTTTTTTTTTTAGAACTTCTGTTGGAAACAAAATCAATGGAAATGCTCGAAGAAAATGTGTGCAGTAATTAAGGAACCGCCCTGTATAAAATTAGATACGCGACATCAATAATGAAAATTCTACAAATTTTTTCATTTCATTACTATCTTCTGTTTCGGTATTTTCAGATTTTCTTATGCTGATTTACAAATCAAAATCTCTTGATTGAATTTTCTTCTTCGTCTACAAAGATTATACAGGTGGTCCCGAAAATTTTGTGAACCTTTGAGATGGTTTGAGATGGTTCCTGAGGTCATTACGAGAAATGTTTTCCTTTGCGAAAATGTTCTCCGCGGCTTCGTTGGCGAGTTATTGGCGGAAATAGACGGGCCAATCGGAGAGCTCGTACAACTACTTCTCGCGCGGCTACTGACGCGCCAGTCAGCAGTACCCGTTCGTTGATTGGTCCGCGTTTTTCGCTAATAACTCGTTAACGAAGCTGCGGAGAAAATTTTCGCTAAGGAAAACGTTACTACAAATGACCTCGAGGATAACCTCTTTCAAAGACTTACACTTTTCAGATGTCCAGTATATGTTGTTCAATTTCCGAAAATACTTTCAGTGATTATTTTTTGAAATCGTGTTCCTGTTTTGAAATTTCTTAATTGTTCACTAAAATGATGTCGCTTATATTATAGATGGACGATGTCAGCAGACAATTAATTCAAAATTGAACAATGATCGGGAATTCGAAAGCATTTGACAGTGCGTTTAGCATAATCGCGTGTCATGTACATCCTTTTTGTGCCACGAGGCTATGAATAAAGCAGTGCATATTATTCTTGAATTCGTTAAAATTAAATCGATTAAAACCAAACATGCGTGCACAAACAGTCGCTCATTTAACGCTGAGATGAACTTATTACATATAACTTATTATTCAATTACTGGCTGGAGTATTTATCGTGAAATGCGACCACTTTTGAAATACTATATACTTTTGAATTACTATATTCTTTTGAATTACTATACTTTTCAATTACTATACTTTTGAAGTACTATTCTTTTCAATTACTATTTTCTTGAATGATTACTAAATTATTTATTATATCTATAACTTGCTTTATATGTAAACGTATAATAGCATTCATTTCAGAAATCAGTCAAGACAAAATTTAAATATTGTGACAAAGCAACTACTTTTTCATTGAACGACACTCTATTGTATTTTAATCTGTATTAATCTTTCGGTTTTATATTTTCATGAGCTATATTCCTAGACTATTTTCGTGGGCTATTTTATGGCCAATTTTCCTGGACTATTTTCGTGAACTATTTTCCTAGACTATTTTTGTAGACTATTTTCCTGGACTATTTTTCTGGACTATTTTCATGAACTATTTTTCTGGACTATTTTCCTGGATTATTTTCGTGGACTATTTTCCTGACATGGTAATAAAAAGGTCGACTTACCAGTTGGAGCCAGGTGATGTACTTCTTCCACCACAGGTACTTCTGGTACTGCGGGCCCAACGCGGTGAGCAGGTAATACGTGTACATGACAACGTGCACGAACGAGTTGAGCAGGCCAAGAAGAACGCATTGCTCGCCAGGGAGCAGCCTGACATAAATCCACGAGACGACGGCAGTCATTGTGTGATGATAGATGTGGAGGAAGGTGATTTGATTCTGCTTCTTACGGAGAACGAAGAACACCTGCGAACGAAAGAATCATTTTCATAACTGTACTTGTTTCCCGATGATTGTATAGGAGATCACCTATTATTATGTAAATAAACTAACCGTGTCGAGAAGTTCGACCATCTTCGCAATGTGGTACCACCAGGCAGTCGTTGACACCTGTATGAAATAACTTGGCATTATTCAACAAACGTTTGAGGTCTTAATAAATTTACAAGGTTCTCCTCCTCTTCCAGGACTTTGAGTTTTAAATCTTTGCTGTAAACTTTTATTTACTTAGGAGCAATTTTTGTTGAAATCAGAATTGGAGTCAGTATTAAGAATTATTCTCTGCGACTCTTTCAATTCTTTAATAGAGGACCAAATCTTCTTAATTTAATATTGCTATTTTATTATTTATCTAATATCGTTATGTTATTAGAGAATTTACTTACTGCGAGCTGAAGAGGCATGTCCAGCTTTGCGTGTTGCGATTTACCACACCTCGGCGAGAGAATCACACCTATTATACCTGGTTGAAATACCTGCAATCAACATTCCATATGTTATTTATTGCAAATTTATATAGTTAGACGAAATCGCTACAAAAATTGCCATTTCTTCATGACATATATTGCTTATTATCACAATAAAAAGACGGTATTTTTCCATGACGAGTCTTCTTATTACTGTAAAAATTGTGATACCTTTATGACGAGTATACTCGTCACTACAAAAATTGTCATTTCTTCGTGACGAGTATACTCGTCATTACAAAAATTGCAATTTCTTCATGTCAAGTATACTTATCATTCGCGAAAATGCTGTTTATTCAAAGTGAATGTACTCTTTGTAACAAAAATTGCTATTTCTTCCTGACGAATATACTCGTCGCTACAAAAATTGCCATTTCCACATATCAAGCATACTTATCATTCCAGAAAATGCTGTTTTTTCAAGATGAGTGTACTCTTTGTTACAAAAATTGCTATTTCTTCCTGACGAATATACTCGTCGCTATAAAAATTGCCATTTCCACATATCAAGCATACTTATCATTCCAGAAAATGCTGCTTCTTCAATATGAGTGTACTCTTTGTAACAAAAATTGCTATTTTTTCGTGACGAGTATACTCGTCGCAACAAAAATTGTTATTTCATCATGTCAGGTATATTTATTATTCAAAAAATTGTCAGTTCGTCACGACAGGACCTTATTACATACGGAAAATGTAATTTCTTCATGACGAGTATACTCGTCGTTCACAATCAATAAGTTAACTATGATAAAAAATTCAGGATGTTGGAACTGCTGTAACTTCGTGAGAAAAAATCGTACAACGGTCTACTTGGGCTTATTTTAAAGGGTGAACTCTCTACTTTTACACTTCGTCAAACATGATTGTTTCGATCAGGCTTGTTTGCTGCAAACCCGAGAGGAAAGCTAAAGCTACCTTTTTCTCTTGAAATTTTTGACCAATTCTTCGGGAGCCTGGGTTTGAGATGACATTTTCAAAATCGATATATGCGAGCAAATCGCAGAAATCGTTTACCCGCATAACGAGGAAGAAGCTCAAGGCGACTTGGACTGCGTTGTAAGCGATCATAACATTGGACAATTGGTAGGCGGGTTTCTTCTCCATCATTCGTGGCCCGACCTTCAAAATGAACGCCAAATAGCAGCCAACGATGGTCAGCATCGGTCCAGGGGACCCCATCAACGGCCATGTTGGCACCTTTATCTCTGAGAAATCGCAATTCACGATTAAATTTCTTTCAATTGTTTGTTCCGATCAACGGCTAAGGTAGGAATTATAATTAATTATTTTTTACTCTGAATTTAAAAAAACTAATCTCAGAAGGTATATTATTGTCAATATAACCTTCTATCAATCTCGGGGGGGGGGGGGGTCTACAAGAAAAAATTACTTATTACATTGAAATAGTTGAATAAAAGAAAAGAAAATTAATATTATTGTTGTAAATTTACAAGTAATTTATTCCTCTCGTATATTCATTCATAAATGTACTTTTATTTTTACTAATTAAGATTACAATGATACGAATTGAATTTTTGGTCATAAAATGAATTTTCTCGAGTATAATTATTGTAAAAGATTGTTCTTTCTGTCAATCGTTACCTCGTTGTAACTTCGATAATCGAAATATTTACTTTGATGAGATAATTCTGTAATTAGATAAATTTTGACGTATTAGTCAAAAAATCATTAAAATTACCGCTGTTGATCTCCTCGATCTCGTCGTAGTTGCTGATTATCTGGTGAATTATGCTCGCCATGTCGGTGGTCTGTTTGGCAGTATTGTCGAATGAGTTCTGAAATTAAAATATCGTTATCATTATTGTTATTGTCGCGGTAGGTCGAAAAATTGTTATTCGCCTTACGTTCAGGCTAATTTGACTTGCGATTACATTTATTGCAGAGTTTGTTTAAAATACAATAAATGGCGAAGGATACTGGAAACGA